GGTACTCTGGTTTTGGTTCGCGTGAAGAGAGTCGCAGTGGAGCGTCTCTCCTTCATCATTTAAAGACCGACGACCAGTTCGCGCTTTCCACTTTTCCTCCGCTTCCTCCTCTCCCCCTAATCACCGCTGCCTGTTTCCTCCTCGGCCAGGGTGAGGAGGATCTTCTGCCTTGCAGAATCTCGTGTCTGATCGTCGGCCTTTAACTCCAGCTGGTCACAGACCAGGTGTGAAAATGCTTGGGCGATACTGTTCTGCCAAAGGGTGCGATAATTCTACTAAGACGCGCGATGTCTCTTTTCTGCTTTCCCAGCGGATCACAGCTATGGTTTTGGTTCGGAGGTTTGTTAGTTTCATTAATGCGAAGTCTGGTGAACGTAATTTCTTAGCATATGCTTTTACTATTAATATTAATTTCAGGTACGAGAATTGGGCATCGTAGGCCAATTTGCCGAAATTCTACTATTTAACAATATAGCGCTATCTCTGTTCTGCTCATTTTTCGGCGGACGCATTTCTCAACAAGAAGCGCTTGAAAAAGAAGGCCGTGCCGTCTGCCTGCGCATCGAAACCAACGACGTTGGAGCATTTGGTGCCATCCAGTAAGTGGCAGGACATATTGATAAACATCCTGGTTTAAACTTGGTTTGATTGTTGACATTTCTCAGGAGGTGATCTCTGGCGGTTTGACTTGAAATTGAACACGCATGGCGTGGTGGTTATTTTGATTTCCTTCAATTAAATATATACGTCCTGGCCGTTAGTTTTTTTTTTATCACTACATCGGCGGCGATGCGATGCCATCATGTTGCGCTGTGGAATGCACATACAGCATTGCGAAAGGGAAGCTTTGTGCCGTTTCGACGAGAAAAGGAAATCTTCAGCGACGAAGACAATGGACCAACCGGATCGGTCGGAAAAGTTTCGACTGCCCCCGACGGAGACTTTGCGAGGTAAGTCACTTTAAAACTCTGGATAGCATCACCTGCCTCTTTCGGTCTCGCCAATGAAGATCGCCTCATACGAGCATGAGATGAGATAAACACGGCACGAAATTGCCGGCATGAAGAACTTTGATATGTCTTTTTGCGCGTATTTAATTATGGAAACTGACTCACTCCCTCTTAGCTCGCTTGCATTGAGTCGGTTGAATTGAGAAGGATTCGTGAGAGACTGGGGTGCCTCTAAAATTAAGAGGGTTGTAGTGCTACCGCGTGCATATTGCGTGAGTGAAAGGAGATTCACCAGCGATCGAGCACCTCGCTATTTTGTTTATGGAACATGCTTCCGTGATCGGTACTTCTTCAGAAGTGGCAACAAAAAATGTGCGATGCTCTATTTATTTTTCACGATCACTTCACAAATGATCAGTTTGAGCCGGTGATCTTGGCAAAGACTGGCACCGACCTCTTCCGAATGTGCAATATTGTGCCTTGTAGCAATAAATATTTTATTGTCTTCATCTTTGTGTGGAATTTGTCTTCTGTAATTAAAAAACCTCATTTATTGACAATAAAAGAAATTGCTTTTGTGTTTTGAAGGCTTGACTGAGGGATCTTTCCGTCCTCATATTGTCACTCACGCAGTAAGGTAAGCCCGCAAGTGTGCTGCAAAGCTTATAAACTTTGAGAGTGAACTCAAGGGTGTACCTTGCGCGTGAGAACGTCAAAATATCAGATAAATGAGAAACATGCTGGGGCAAGGCAACCGAGCACGCGCTATTAGAGCGCAGCTCTTAGGGGCCCGTTTCCGGCTTGAGCGGCGTCGGCGTCGCCGTCGGCGTCGCCGTCGGCGTAACCGCGCGGTGCATCATGGGAAATGTCCCATAATGCACCGCGCGAGCCCCCCACCGGGGTCACGTGACTTCGTGGGGGGGGCACGACCCCCCCGAGGTCACGTGACTCCCCTGAGGTCACGTGACCCCTTCCTCGAGGTCACGTGACCCCCGCCGATGTCGCGTGACCCCCCGGTGACGTCATCGACACTGATGACGTCACCGGCATCCACATCGTCATCGTCATCATCACTGATGTCATCATCAGTGATGATGACGATGACGATGCGGATGCCGGTGACGTCATCAGAGATGATGACGATGACGATGTGGATGCCGGTGACGTCATCAGTGATGATGACGATGACGATGTGGATACCGGTGACGTCATCAGTGATGATGACGTCATCAATGATGATGACGTCATCAGTGACGATGACGATGTGGATGCCGGTGACGTCATCAGTGATGATGACGATGACGATGTGGATGCCGGTGACGTCATCGGTGATGATGACGATGACGATGCGGATGCCGGTGACGTCGTCAGTGATGATGACGTTGACGATGTGGATGCCGGTGACGTCATCAGTGATGATGACGATGACGATGTGGATGCCGGTGACGTTACCGACATCCGCATCGCCATCGTCATCATCACTGATGACGTCATCAGTGACGTCACTGATGTCGTCATCGGCATCCGCATCGTCATCATCACTGATGACGTCGTCAGCGACGTCACTGATGACGTCACCGACATTCGCATCGTCATCGTCATCATCACTGGTGAAGTCATCAGTGACGTCACTAATGACGTCATCGGTACCCGCATCGTGATCGTCACTGATGACATCGTCAGTGACGTCAGTGATGACATCATCGGCATTGGGGGTCACGTGACCCCCAAGGTCACGTGACCCCCCCCCCTGGTTAGTCTAACCCCCCCCCAGCGCCCTTCCCTCCTCCTCCTCAAGAGCTGCGCTCTAATTCGGTGTTACAGGGAGTTGTAAGCGGCTTTCACTTTTTTTCATTTTAACCGAGGGGATACAAGTGAGTGCATTTGATGGGCAGTTATATGCCCGAGGCGCGTAAATAGCAGACGTCGCACATTCCTCCGCGCGCGTGTTCACAGTTGAAAGTAGTATCCGATGTTTATAAAATGTGTACGAAGTAAACCAAGCTGTTGGATTGACAAAACGATCGGTGATGCTAAGAACTACGGAAAAGTGCTGGTTTTGCACCCGTACGGGGTGTCTTTTATTTGCCTAACTCGAGTGTTGCCGATTCTCCAAGTGCACTTCGTTCAATATACTAAAAAGTTTTGGTAGAGTGTACGCCAAGGATTGCGAGCCTTGCGCGAGCGCGTGCCCGACTCATGCTCAAAGCGGCGGCACGAGCTCCCGCTACCGAAGCAGTCCTTGCCCATAAAACCCTACCCACACGAAGGAGAAGTCCGCGGACGGATGTCGTGACGTCAACAACCCGGAAAACTCCGTCCCCGGCTCCGCCGCCCACCTGCGGAATTTTCGTGCTGACAGCACGAAGCTTCCGCGCCTCCGCCACGGAGGAGAACGGCGCCGCGAGGCGTCAAAAAGGGATGACGTATGTCTCACGTGATCTGCGCTCCGCGGAGGAAAGGGGCGGATTTCTCCCTCGTGTGGATACCCCATTAGACGAAGGGAAAGGGGCATTCTATCGATTCTATCGATGCTGCGATAAACGGGTAAACGAAATATATTTTCGCAGTGCATGCCGATGTCCCAAAATACTCAACTACTTTGTTGTTGTTGTTGTTGTTTTCGTTGGCGTTTAGCGGAATTGGAGAAAGCTTGTCTTCACGCCCGAGCAATTTCAACTCTGCTCGCGCTATTATATTTTCCAACAGAGACGTCTTCTCGTGCTTTATAACTCCAATAAAGGTGCACAAACGCTAGTTTTTTCACGCTAAAAAAAAAAAAAAACTGTCTTCATATTTAAAAAAGAAAATTTCTAGTCAGCCGTATGCAATAACATGTACGGAGCGGCACCCGGTCGTGCCCGGCACACAGGCACGCGCCGCCAAGCGCCTTGTGGGCCTCGCTCAGACATGGCGGCGGGGGGCGTGGCGGCGTGGCGAGGACGGAGGGCAAGGAGGGTTGCCGTCGATGGAAAGGAGGAAAGCATGGAGAAAGAAGGAATTGCGCTATCTCTCAGTATACAGGGGCCTTACCCTCACTCAGAGCCGTATATGGGGAGAGTTTCGTCAGTCTATGATCTCGCCGCCGTATCGCGCTCCTCCCGAGTGAGCCAATCAGCACGCGGCGCAGAGCGAGAGGCATGAGCGCATGCGCGTGAGCTCCCGGCTGCTCCCAGCTGAGTGGGGAGGGCCGCCATCTTCGATCATTCTCCCGGCGGAATGCGTTGGATCGGCACCTAAATCTCGATTATTGCCTTTTATATCGCTGGCTCTGGAAAGAAAATGACATTCTGTTATTCCTCGGTGGGTTAAAAAGCTAATAAATTAAGATTTTTCGGCGTATGGCCACAAACTTTTATTCAGGCGAAAAAGAAGTCGGCCCGTAGCAGACGACGCGTAGCCTCAGCAGAGCTCTTCTCCGACCAGTCTCCGACAGCGTTGCTCAAAAATGGCGGTCGTCTCCTCTCTGCTCCATTCTTTCTCTCTCGCTCCTTCGGCGCTCTCCTCCCTTTCATTTACTTTTCTCCTCTCCGGTGCCTTCGTCGCCACACCCACTGGCCAAACTCTCCCAATATACGGCTCTGCCCCCACTCATTGTTCGCCGCCACCTAGCGGTGGTAGGCGTAGAATTGCCTGGAAGCAATGTCGCGAATGCGGCGTTGTTATTATAACGGCATTTAAAGGGAGATGCCACAATTTTAACTTTGAACGAATTTGCACTTTTTAATTTTTTACATTGTTTCTCTTACCAGAAAGGATAGAGAAACCGCACTACTATGTCGAAACGTCACAATTCCGTTGCCTGATGGCAAAGCAATCAACGGAAATATTTCCAGGATTTGCAGCCGCGGGGTTGCGGCCAAGGGAGCTAAGGCTTGACGCGCACCTGGGTGCATTTTAATAAGCTGGCAGCACGTGCCATTATGGGCTCAATACAATGTAATGTTTTATAAATATTCTATTTTCAACATGAGTACACGCGTCAAAAACCTTATAGTCGTGCTATATTCAGTTTTAGCGGCGCCATCTGCCCGAGGTAAAAAGAAAACTATCCCTCCCTCGAGCCGCGTTGCTACCGCGTCAGTCCAACTTCCTTCCTTACAACGGTCGCGTTCGCAGTCTTCGCCGAGAAGTGCGGGCAGACGTGCGGCCGGTGCGGCGCAAGATACGAAGCTGGGCGTGTGGAGGTGGCCTCGGCCAGTGTCAACGATAAGATAGCGGGCGAACAAGAATATAGTACTTGCTCGGCGGACACTCTCAGAGTCCATCCTTGTACCAACATTCGACACGCGCTGCACAGGGGTGAGCCGCAAAGTTTTCTGTTTCCCTCGTGCTTCGATCATTATACGCCTGCATTTTCGTCGTTACCTTCGAGAAGGCCTCCCATTGTCGAATTGGCAAATGCGGAATTATATATAGTCACTGTCAGCTAAAGAAAGGCCGGCTTATTTTGTTCACCCTCCTTGCTTCTAGCTGACCCGTAAGTGATGACGTCACAAAATGGCGATCCGCTCCAAACAAACCGTTGCCAGGGCCGTTGTTACGAACAAATACAGGGAGGCCCTACGTGAGGTAAAAAATTGTCTGATAAAAAAGTAAATATTCTTTTCCTGTTGAGGGGTTCTTTGTAAGATAGTGCACAACCTCGTTGAATGAGATTAATGACGATCCACGAAACTTTTATTCTCGGTCAAAGTTCGTCAACAATTGACCGAGGGGGCGTTTTGACATTTTTACAGGAAAAAAACCGAAAAGCCTAAAATTATTTCATGGTATTAAAGCCGTTTAAATGTGTTCACAGAGTGCTCGAAAAAAGTTAATATAATGTGGACTGAAAATCCACGGCGGGAGATCGAGTGAAACATCCGACCGACGACGGATATGAAAAACACTGCTTTCCGCCGCGGCCTCTTTTAAAATTCGTAAGTCGAGAACAAAAAATCCAACGAACTTGCGGTTTGTGGCTACTGCGTTTTTAGAGACGACGCCATAACATATATTTTTTTTCGGCGAAATTAAAAATTCGACCCTTTTAGCCTGCACGATTTGAGATGAAATCACCATATATATATATATATATATATATATATATATATATATATATATATATATATATATATATATATATATATATATATATATATATATATATATATATATATATATATATATATATATATATATATAAAACTGAGAAGAAAAAAACCCTTAGTGAAAAACAGCAACAACGGACGATTTAATCTTCGAAGTTTCGGCCGGAGTCCGGCCTTCGTAAGGGTTTTTTTCTTCTCAGTTTTATACCCACGCACAACACTCGGAGAGCCAATCACCGCAAATAGCGGAGGCAGCTCAGCGAATGGCGATGCCGAAATACATGTTTAGACCAAAAAACGCAATCTGAGTTGTGACATTAAGCAATGCAAAACGTCACGCTTGCATTGATTAATGTCACAACTGAGACTGCGTTTTTTTGGTCTAAACATGTGTTTCGGCATCGTCACTCGCTGAGCTGCCCCCGTAAGTTGCGGTGATTGGCTCTCAGCGTGGTGTGCGAGAAAGTAGACGCAGAGACTTTTTTTACAGTAATATTTCCCGTCCTTCTAAGTATGCCAGAATACGCGAAAACAAAACAGTGGCCCCTCTTTCGTCCCCTCTTGTTTATTCTTTCCGAGCGTTTACGTTTTACCGACGCGCTCGTTATTTGATGTTAGGCGCGCTCTTTTCCTTTACTATACAGTCGGCTTTTACTATCTGTACATCTAGAAGTCTTGTTCCTTCTTTGTTTCTTCTTCAAATGCTAACCACCCTGCAATGTTTAATGTTTTTGTTTAGGCTTCTTAGGCGTTTCGAGCAGACCTTGTAATGGAGCCTTCGATATGCCTCACGCACGGACAGGACACCTTGGAGATTAAACGCTTCGGTAAGTTTCGTAAAATCTTCAGAAGTCGATGGCGGCGGCGAGGTCCTTACAATAAAAAAATTGATATAATTAAATACCCTTTATTGTTTGTTTTTTTAGTAACACAATTGTTAAATACGTTACATAAATGAAGACTTCAATGTCCAAGTCGGGTAGCAATAAATGCAATCCGTGCAATAAATGGCGTCGGGCCGTTCGCTTAAATTCAGTTCTTTAGAGTTTTTTTTTTTTTTATAGACTGTAGCATTAAGGCTAGTTCACACACTTAGAACACAGAACATAGCACTTGGAAGTTCTTACTACCGGAGAAGCTTGAAATCCGTTTGTATGCCACTCTAAGTGCGACCGCGCAGCCGGTTGTGAGCAGACACGTGAGACTTGAAAGCGATATTTAGCCCCTCTGGTCGTGAGCTGCCGCACGTGTGTGAAAAAGCCTTCCTACTTAAGTAAAGGTGGTGCTTCTTTGACATGAAAAAGAGATAGAGATGGAAACTAAATAATGGCTGTAATGAGATTGTTAGTAACGATAATTAGAACGTTTTGTTTCGTGTGATATAGTTTATCACTCAACGTCAGACAGGGCGGTTGGTGGCCGAGTGAGCTAGCGCACACCAGCTCAAAGCACGTGGAGTGAAATCTCGCGCTGTAGAACCAAGGTATCCCGGGTTCCACGCTCTACCCCTGCCCCATTTCTATCTGGATGAGCATCGCACCGGCGCGCGGTCGTGTACGGCTACTGCACGGTGTACGCGGCGGTTGTACTGCACTGGCTAAACTGCTCATCTACAGCTGAGATACCAGACGACCATTGGGGCTGATTAACTTTCGGCACTCTAAATATACACGCAAGTACTAATCATTACGTCAGACAGATAACATATTTAAGGGATGAAAGTGCCGTATTTTGTGGGAGGAATGAATGCCGTGTTGTTATTGTGGAGCGTACTGACGATGGTGATTCAACGGTCAATCGCCTGCCTGTTATCACCTGACTCCACAGTCTGTGGCACAGCCAACAAAATTCAGGCTACTGTTTAGTCCGTTGAGCGCCTGTAGTCGCCGACAGCTTTAAGGAGCCATGAAATTAATTTTAGGCCGGGATAAATAATTTTAATGCGAAGGTATTAACACTCCCATAAGGCGGAACCGGCGGCGTCTGTAACCGCAAAAAAACTCGAAAGAAATGCCCATTTTCCCATTAGCTGAGCGAAACGGCTCCTAAATAGCTATTGGCGGCCGCTTCACGAGAGCGCGGGCTCGGCTGCGCGCTTCATGACAGACTCAACTACAGAGTGTAAATCAGTTTATCTCTAGTACTCAACGATAATAATGCATTCGAATCTCTAATCTCGACACAGGAATGTTTTCCGAGTGAGAGAACTCAAGCGTGTGTCTACAGTAGGTTACAGGTTAAGAAGGTAGCGGCAAATGCCCCTCAAAAGAAATCATATATCCCTCCGCCACCTCCCCATCCAATAGCGTCCCATCGTTTCCGTGACGTCGCGGCCAACGCGTGAGGAGGGTCTTGCCTTTCTGTACATATTTTCTTTATCTTTCGACTTTGACTTAGCATTGTGGAAACCACGAGAGGGAGATTAGGCTTTTCCTCCTCCGATGGAAACAAATACGACTTTCGGGGATTAGCTTCCCCCTCCGATGGATACAAAGGCTGCTTTCAGATGCTCGGTTCTTCCTCCAATGAATACAAAGGTCGCTTTCTTAAAAAGTGGGATCGGAGACAAGTTGGCATCACTCTGTAGCCAATATCTATCCAGTGAAGCGGGACAAAGAGCATTTCTTGTAACCTCTTCTTTCGACTGCGGAGAGATTTGAAACGGGCGCATCACGCTTGTGGGAGGAGCTTCTCCTACCTTCTTGACTCGTAACCGACTATAGTGAGTAAGCTCAAATAAATATTGAGTCCCTAAAGATAAATCCCATTTACATCTAAAGAGTAAATTCAAAATATTACACATTATGTTTTATAATAAAACCAACCTGCGAGGCCTAATGAATAAATTACAAAAACTAATATTAAGTTATTATTGGCCAAATTTATTCGCATTCCTATTAAGAAACTTAAAAGGAATATATATTGAGTCTTAATTACAAAACTCATTTGCATTCCTGGTAAGTCAATTTAATAAAATAGACATTGAGTTTCGTATGATGAAACTCATTAGACATGGAGTTCACATTCCGTTTGAGGTGGCTCTATAAGAATACATTAGAAGCTCAATTAAAACTCTGATAATTTTTGCAAAGGCAGAACATAAGCAGAGGCTCGTTTTGAGCCTGCGCTGCGCCTGCGTTCATTGTGGCGAATTTGACTTTTACAAGGACATGTTATGAATATCTATTAATATTTGCTACAGATCTTTGATATCTAGGTATCTAAAGCAGCCGTAGCGTCTTACCTGGCTGGTCGGAACTGCTCTTGCGACTAGACCAGTCGCACGTTTTGCGGTACCGCGGTACGAACTTTTCGTCACACGATGACCGTGCAGCTGATCACAAGGGGTGCCATCATTCTCGAATCGATAGTTTCGGTTTCGCTTTATACCCCTGAAACAAAACTTTGCGAAAAGATGTCTACAAAACTACAGAAGGCATCCAAAAGATATTGCACCTCGTAATTCAAGAACAGAATTCCTTCACTAAAAGCAGTCGTAACCCTAAAATCAATAAAACTTTATGGGGATTTGCTAGGCAATTGTGTTGCGTGAGTGAGACGCTCTAGCATCACAATCATATAGCGATAGTCTGAGTTTCCAGACGCAAGACGCCTACGTTCACGGTGCTCTTCAACAGATAGTTTAACCCGTACCATGTGTACACTCGATAGTTGTTTCTAGAATAGAGCGATACTACCGCTAATCGGACTGAAAAACATGGCGATCTTTCACAGCCCACCACACTCTCGATATCCTCTCTCTAAGTATGCACAGGTGGTCGAGCTTCTCTTCGCCTACCACTCCTCCTCGCCGACTCCTCTGGTCACGTGAACTCCCCGTTAACCAATCAGCGTGGAGCACCTCACTCCTCCTCTCCCACCCCTTGTGAAAAATACACCAGGCCAAGGGCTGGTGGGACTTGATGTGACACCATACTTTTTCACAGATGATTTGGGACATTTTCCCAAAAGGAATCTGGTTTTCTGTTGTGACACAAGAAATCTGGTGTGCTGGTGTGACACCAGCAATCTGGCGTTTTGATGTGACATCAGGTTTTGTTGTGGTGCGATACCAGAGCATCTGTTCACTCTGAGTTGATTTACTCACACAAAAAGGGTACAATGATAAGTTTGACAACAACGCTGCTATCAAAATTACTTTATTCAAAAAAGCAAAATAGCACAACAGTAAAGCTTCGGAAGCTTTGCTGTTGTAGGGAGTTGGCCGTGATCAACTGGAGCTTGTTCGGAGCCACCGCACTGCGCCGAAGAACCGGACGCCCTGTTGTTCCGCAATTCTTGACCTTTCAGCTTGCGGTTGACTCGTTTCTTAGTTACGCTGATCCAGTCCCCGTACCCCTTTGCGCCAGAAATCTCCTCTTCTAAGGTATTATATTCGACAGATGGCTCGATTTTCTTGTCCAGCTCTTTCAGGGAAGCCTCCTTAAGTAGAAGAATATCAAATGCTTCTTCGAGCTCACCGGTGTGGGTTGGATCCGTAGCCAGCAGGAGGCCAATCCCGTTGATGACCTTTGTTGTGGCGGCTCACAGGTCTTTCGCTTCAGGTGATCGACGCCCTCCTGGCTCGTAGTAGGCATGATCTGGCCGTTAATTCCCGGGTTTCGGCACCAAAAACTGTAATAATTACTAGCTTCCTTTGTTGTTTTGCTGCCAGACCAAGCTCGCCGGAAGTCAGGAAAGCGCACCAACACAGATCTCTTCGGCTTCAACTCACAGAGAAAACTCCTTTATTGTCTCAAACTTCAACAAGAATACTGGCGGAAAGGGAAAGGGAAACCGCCGAAGAGACCAGCGCCCCAAACTGCTCAAGGCCGCCCGGGAAAGGGCTGGGGACGAGGGGGCCACTTCTTGAGCAGAAAGGAGCCCACCGCAAGCCTCTGGCGACCACCAAGACGGGAGGAAACGAGACACCACGTCGGGGGAAGGGGCGTCACACATACTAATCAGAAACATGCTCGCGGACGGGGGGAAAAGTCAACGAAAAGACAACACTGGTGTCACATCAAACTGCGTGGTGTGCACACCAGGCTGCCTGGTGGGCACATGAGCCCATGTGGTGTGACAGCAGACTCTCCTGGTGTGCTTACCAGGCTGGTGTGCGGGTACACCGGCATTTCTGGTGGGCACAGTAGGCTGGTGCGGTCGATAGACCAGCATTGCTGGTGGGCACACCAGGGTGGTGTGCTCGATACAACAGGATTACTGGTGGGCACAACAGATCTTCTGGTGTCACACCAGGATTCTCTGATGTCACACCAGGATTGCCTTGTGTATTTTTCATTAGGGACCAGTCAACCAATCAGTGTCCAGCATCGCGGCCACGCTTATATTCAGGCTTCACTTTTATCTGGGCTTCACGAAATGTCTGACATCTAGACAAAGAGCGTTTCACGTTAAAATGTACCGGAGTTACTCCTTAGGAAACCCAGGGCTGGTTCTATTACAATCACGCTTCTTCCTCGGGGTATCGTTCTCCGGCAGTCTGATTACCTGATACCACAATCTCATAGGCTATGGAGCGATAATATGATGTTCGCCACGCCATGCATTTCTTAAGCTGTCAGTGAAGTAAATGTTCTACTTTATTTGCTAAAACTTCTTGAAATCCACTGGGCTATGCTAGCTAGGATGCGCAAGGTTAGCGTTTAAAAGTAAAATATTACGAACCGCATTTTTCTAAAGATACACCTAACAGAGCAAATCTGTTCTGATCGTAATGAAGATGACTGTTGCAAATCGAACATGACCTACCTAACAAAACAAAGAAAACTTAGCTTCTGCGCGGAATAGAAATGCATCTTTTATATGAATAACTTTTTTGTGAAACCCCCAAGACAATTTATTTGTAGTAATGATTATTTACGTGTCATGCAGTAAACCGAAAATAAACCCTATATTACGATAAAAATGTTGATTAGTCAAATTAGTCAAAATTAAAAATTAGTCAAAATGATGGGTGTCATAACGAAAATGTCACAACTGATCAGATACTGCTAAAGCAGATGTTTAGCAATTTATTGAGCCAGTGGACTCCCCTTTTTTTCCATTGCAGGAGCCACCGTGACATCATGGCGTGTTGACGGCGAAGAAATACTTTTCATGAGGTGAAATTTGATCTTGTTCGCTCGTACGGCCCCAGTAGACATTTTAGAGCGATTCTTTCGTCAGCTAGGTTAAACGAAAACGGTGAGCTAAATAGGTTTCCGTCTCTCTATCTTCGTGTTTCTAATCTGTTCTACATGCTGCAGAAAATTTTGATTACGCATTAAATTTAGTATTAAGCCTGAATTGAAGTATAGGTGACATAAAGTCAGGTCACATAATGTAAATTTTATCGCTAGCGGAAAATGCCTGAACAGACGGGCGGAAACATTTTGGGATTGGGGCTTCCTTTAAAAAGTATTTCATGCTTCAAGAAACAACAACTCATATAGAGTTAACTGATCTGATAATTGGTACATTTTTTTCCGACGAATGACGAGCTTTACCGAAACCCTTTGAATATATAATGGCGTCCATCTATTCGAAAAAATGCTGGGAAAGGGCGTTTTTTTTTTTGTTTTTTTTTTATTGGAACTTACGCTAGTTTAGTAGCTGAACATTATTACGCATCCGATACGCCTAGAAACAGTTTAGGTCATACCTTATAAATGATATCCAAGACCAGGAAACGCGTTTTACCACAGAATGACGTAACATGCCCTTATTTACCACAGCGAGAAATCCTCGTCCGACTGCACGGCGCCCATTCGCGGCGGCATACCAATAGTGTTCCGTAAGTGGCACCTGTTAACATTTTGCTTAGCCTAATCTTTGGCGAATGACGATGCCGAAAAGACGTTTAGAGACTGGGCCTGCTTGAACACGTGAAACGTGACTGTGCATGATTGATTTAGTCGACGATCACATAGGCACTAAAATGACTAAAGCGGCGGCGATGTGCTTCTGGTGCTGTTTGATTGGCTCTATTCGATCTTTGCATTGGCTTCGGGGGGACTGAAGCGGAGTATGGACCTTGTTTCGCCCTCGTCGTTCGCCGAGCTCGCAATGTGGATTGCGGCGATTGGTTCTTCCAGTGCTGCGCGACAAACTAATCGCACGTTTTGTTTTTCATTTTTTTTTTAATTGCGCGTGGTTTTAAGGTATTCTCGTTATTGTTTTCTAACAAGCTTCAAGCGACAAACATGCATTTCTCTCGATTTTGTTCTTGTTGACAATTTTCTTTAAAATTAAATATAACTTTGTGCCACGGGAAAAGCGCCAGTTCAAATAGAGACGTGTCTTCGACTGTTCATTTTTCTTCTACTTTGAAACTTTCCTCTTTTCCTGCCTCAGTCTCGGGCTAAGAACAAAATGGTTAACATCCACCAGCTCGCCTGCACAATCACTACATTATCATAGTTCAAAAAAGTTTTTTCCCCCTTCGTTGTGGGTTTGACTGGAAATATTTGATCACAAAACATGTTAAAGAACTTTTCACAATTTTGGATTTTTTAAAGCACCCCATTATTCGTAATGTTAATGAGATGCTTAAAAAAGCTGCCATTATCCGCGTAAAGGTTAAAAAAGCAGCACGTTGTCCGTGTAAGTGTTTTGACCTTTCCGCTTAGCCTAGCCCGTCACCATGAGCGCGCCTGATACAAATGAATCAAAATTACAATTGCAATAACATTGTACAGAGTGTGCAATGTAATTGTACGATGTTAAAACCAAAACACAAACGCAAGAGTAGGAAACTTTATTTAAGAAACAAAACATACAGAAACCATAAACGCGGAACGTGAATGACAAGGTATGATATAGGGCTCCGTGTATTGGAGGATCATTTGGATGCTATTTTATCGGAGTTTATTTTTTACGAAGATTCGGTGTTTTTTATATCTATTTTTGATGTCAGACAGAATTTCGTAGTTTAGCGGGGGCTTAGGTTGCGAAACTAGGACACGAGATCAGGTTGCGGAGTTCTATTCTCGTGACCAGAATTCCTGCAAAAAACATTCCCGTACCGATAAGAAAACTACATTATTTGAGGTGTGTACCTCGAAAGAAGGATAAAGCTGCCTCGCGGACGGTTGAGTGATGCTGCGTTTCAGGTCAACACGAAAGAGACCTATATATAATATAGTATTATTTTTCGCAAAGCTTGGGTTTTGTTTTGTGCAAGGACAGCTCCCATTCGAAGATTTTCAGTTTTCCTCGAATTTCATTATCCGGATCGGGCCTTAATGATCGGAGGTTTTCGATATTTACCGAAAACACGAAAACGTCGTTATATTTAAGCTCAAAATTACATACGGATCTCATGAGCACTGGGGTGCAGAATTTTTCCCTAACACGAGGGGTTGCTTTTAGCAAACTTTGGCCCTTGGGCACTCGGACCTCATCATGGATTTGCCCACACGATGGAATGGACCATTAAGGAACCGCCGACGCAGGTAGGAGCACGGGTCACCACTGCAATGTGCTTCAGTGTCAGAATAAAATATTGGTAATAGTTACTATATAGAAAATGCTTTTTTGTTGAATTCTTTAATACCTGAATTACATTAAGTATATTTTCATATACCGAGGGGAATGTGTAAAGATGTAGAACCATTTTTTATGTTGTGGTTTTCGAGCAGTTGTTCGTCTGAATTTCGGATTTATTGCTGACTTTCGCCTTTTGACTTTCTTGTGACAATCCCACGGTGCCTTTCATCAAGAAAGCCCATCAATTTGACGTATTTAATTGCTCAACAAACAAGTCTACTCGCACAGATAAGCAATTTTTGTGAAAAGTAAGCCTAGATTAATCGAAATCATTCACATCACTGCTCGAGTAACTGACATCATGATGTAAGAACTTGAGATTGGGCGAGTGCGCTAATCGTCGACAGGCACCATGAGGTCTCTAATTTGAGACAATAAAAGCAGTGTTTTATTTATGTAACTTTAGACAATTATTTTGCTACTATTATTGTCACTACTTCCACCATTATTAAAGCAATAAGGTCAGATGAATTATTTAATGATTTATGCAGTGATTCAGATTTCGGAAGTATTAATGTATATTCATGTCATCTTTCTGCCTTCTGCCTCACTACAGACCGATCAAGATGCAAGAGTGGTTCTCAAGCTCGTTGATGACGATTACACTCGATCGATCTGGGATCACAGGTAGCCGGTTTGATGCGTCACATGAGTGGATTTAAATTCCATTTTTTATATAAGATCAGATTAGCGGTATCCCCTATTAATATGAAAATTCACCCATACGACCCATATCTCATACCATATAAAGGAAACAATCATTTGACATATTATATACATTTTTATCGAGAAAGAACGTACAGGTCTAAATGATGTTTGGTCATGATTGCCCACCATACTTTCCCTGTGAGATGATTTATATATAAAGAGTGTTGTTTTCTTTCATCTAATTTTAATAATTTTACAATTAAGGATAGGTTTATTAAATAGACATGGTCCACAGTACCGACAATATTATGTGCTTTACGAATATAATATATATAAGGTAAGGGAAATTGTCTTGAACCAGTTTAAATGTTAAATTCCTTTTTGAGAACTACGTATTTAGATATTTCTTTGCGATGGACGCGTCGTGTGGTATTATGGGATACGAGTCGTATGTATGCATATGTTTTTTTTTTTCGCAAGGGACATGTGTTTTTATTTAAAATACTCGGAGCAATCCAATTCAAAATATCAAAATTGTGCTAGTTTTTTTTTTTATTTTGTCCATATACAAGTGGGAAATTTGAGTCCCCGTGTTTAAACTAACCGTGGAGGTTGGTTTAAACACGGGGCTCAGCCATCCCTTTACCACATGGCAAGGGGCTGGCTAAAACTGCAGTGAGATTAGAGGGTAAATTGTATGAATAAAATTGTCCTCGTGGCTGCAGATAGCTTTTAACCTTTAAAACTTCCAAAAAGCTTACCACCACAACCACCACTGCTGGTGGCGATAACAATCACTTAATTAGCAACCCCACTAATCTTCACCAGTGCCATTTGTACCAGAGCACGTAAAAAAACGAATGAATAAGCTAGTGAATGGATGGATTGGTAAGTAACTGTTTAGTTAACTTTGTTGTTTTGTTCTTGGTTAGCGAAGATTAAGCCTAAAGAATGTTGTAATGTGTACTTGACACGCTTGTGAGTGGTACTTGTTGGTTGTGTGACTAGTGATCCCAGGACATAATAGGCTTACAATTCACGGATGTTGTTTGGTCTCCTGCAGATTCGAATTGTCTCTTAGTATCACCCTGAAGAAATCTGAACTTGATATTCAACTGGCGGTCACGAACAATGGTATGCGCATCGCTTCCTTGCCACTATTGTCTGAACCTGCTCTTGAGGAGGGCAATCATTTTCCTAGTTGACACTTTGGCAATTTAACACTTTAACCCCATGCTACAGGGGGGAAAAAAAACCGTATACCCCCTCCCCCCCCAAAAAAATGCTTGTCTTGTAAGACTTGTAAAAATATTAGACGCTTAGAAAGAAGCCTGAATTTGATTGCGCTTCGAACACGCCGCAAGCTAGCACGCCCTCCCTTACATCGTAAAGTGCGCCACTGTCACCCCACCGTTAGAAGTCAACTTTTGTATCTTCCTGCCCCCTGAACAACTCACATCGACGCCTTAAAGGGGCACTGACACCCCAAAGGTCGTATTTATTTTTATTGTCTAAAACGATGTAAGTTGCAGTCATAGACACGCAAAAAAAACCGCACCGGGAAAAAAAATTTTCCCGGGCCCGCGCGCGCCTTTTTATTTTTGGCGTTTGATTTTCCCGCCTCTCGCCTCCTCGCTTCTTTTGATCGGTGACGTCAAGAATCAGGAAATTTAGAAGCTTTGTAGGCGACATCTCTATAACATTTAATTACGGCAATCCTAAAACATGTTTTTTAACGCAATTGCGAACGCACTACGGCCCTTCTTTTTGAAATACCAAAAATCGGGAGTTCGTTGTGGTGCCGTCTCCTGGATTGGTATCCTCCAACGGAAAACAGGCGACACCGCTCAAAACCGGTCCGCCGCAACGAGCCGGCGCTCGCTCCTTTCCTCCTCGCTTTGGGTCGCCATGGCAACAGCAGGGAGTGGAGAAAAAAAAGTGGACTCTCAGGTCTCACCAATTTTTGACGTCAAGGCACCGGCGCCGATCGCGCGGGAACTTCGAATTCGGCATTTGGAAATTGTTTTTTTACTTCACGAATACTGAATTCCCAAATTTCAAATTTTGAGGGTAATGTCCCGGCATCGTTTTCGATCGTTTCGGATAATAAAAAAAAAAATATGATTTTGATGTGTCAGTGCCCCTTTAAAGGGGCACTCAAGTGGATTTTGAAGTTTTGAAGTAGTCTGTTATGGTGATAACTAAATCAACGGTCTCTAAGCATCCTAAAAATGCCTGAAATTACACTTATGGGTGATCGATTTTCCTATTAAAAAATATAATCATACATCATGACATGCCCCTCTTTCTGCGCCTTGGAACTGATGACAAGTTTATTATTTCTTATATAATCTTATATTGTTCTGATATGTTTTATAATAATATTATGTGGTCTTAAATTATCTTATTTGAGCATGTTTTTATTGGACCAAAATATTTCTTATATATATATAAAATGTTTCACTAGGGCCACGTCTCCTCCATCCAAAGATTGGACGTTTTTTCTCGAACTAGAATGCACCACGCGCCTAAGAAGAGCAATAATACTAACGTTTGGAATCTCCACGCGAAAGATTAACCTTGTCCGTCCTTGTGTTTTGTTTTCTTCCCATTATTTATATTATCCTTACCAGCACGCTTTCCATTCCGAGTGACTATTTTCTTTGGTCAAATTTTACGGAGGTAGTGAGGATCTGAGGATTACCCCCAAAGGAAAATAGTTCACGTGTATGGTTATTGCTCTGAGTTTACTCAGAGCAAATTACCATCTAGAACTTGTAATTTTTACTGATTAAAGCTCAGAAAACAGTATGCCATCAAAAACAAGCTTCTGCAAGAGGCACATTTGAGTGCCCCTTTAACAACTCTTGAAGCTTCCAACGCATATCTGGATGCACTACCGCCTTTAATAAATCAATTTTACCACCCTTGTGGACTGCAACGATCTTCCCGTCTCTATGTAAATAACCCTTTCCAAAAGTTGGCGCAAATTTGTAGCTGCTGCGATCTCAGTCCTCCATCGCTTTGGCGCGTCTTCTGACCATGTATGAACACGAGAACTGTATCAACGTTCGGAACCGTCTCTTCTCTCGATCGTTCGCCGCGACCTTCGGCAATGTTCATCCTTGAAAAGCCGACAATCATGGAGTAAGTGGCTAGGGTCTCTGCAGAAAGAACCCAACGGGGAAACCAGGCTGTCGCCCAGGGACGTCACTCAAAAGATGACATAAGAGTTGAGGGGCACTTTGACCTTCGAATTGTTTCTTTTTATTTATTTTTTAAAGAAAAACTAGAGCATGCAGGAAAATACAGTTTTCTGTTCTTCGTTCTAAAGGTAACACAAATTATTTTTTTAAGTTAATTAGCCCAGGTCCAAAAATCGTTAAATCGCCTTTTTAAGCCTTTACATGCGGAAATAAAAGACTTTTTTTTTTTGCATCTGGTATTTGTTTTTAATGTTGCTGCCTTTGACAGTTCCCCTCCCCCCCCCCCCCTTTCTTAATGTAATGTCATTGAAAAAGGGCCCGTAGGAATGCAACAAATAAATTCATAAAAATAAACCATCTGCGTAAAGTCTTCATTTTTTTTTATTTGTTCGCTTTCTGCCTATTTATTGTAAAGCACGCCAAAACACGCGCGTTTGGTTATCCCGGTCTCGCCCCCTCACGGTTTTCTTACGCACAATAAAGTCTGTCACCTAAGGTCACCGTCCCCATGGCATCAAAGCATCTCCTAAATAGACGCAGACGCGAACGTGCTGCTTGAAGCCAGTAGCAGCCGGAAGCATTTTTTTTTTTTTTTTTTTTTTAAATATCGTCCGCTTATTGACACGGAGGCAATGTTAGCTAAAGGCTCCAAACTAGGCTTCCAAACAGACGCGCGATCACCCCTTGCTTCGCTTCGCTTCGTTCGGTTTTACTCGGGAAAAATGAACTGTAATTAGGCCATTGATCTTGTGGCGTTTATTTATCACAAAAATTGGCTGGATGTTTTTCAGTAACAAAATGGTGAGTTGGGCTAGTTAATTCATTACGTGCTTCAGGAACCAAAAACACATGAACAGAGGGAAAAAGGACGACGTCCTTCACTCTGTCCTTGTTTTTTTTTTTTTTTTTTTGTTTTGTTTTTGTTCCTCTTTTTTGAATTTTAAAAACATGTATGTTTTTTTGTTTTTTTTTTTGTTATAGGTGCATTTTGGCAATTTATTTCGCACGGGCGCTAGAAATGGTGGTTATCGGTGAAAAGCACTAATGGAAAAGGGCGAGTAAAAATTTACCTCGGAATTCGTATACCTCCTTATAACGCTTCACGCTTATCAATTTGTAACAATGGTAATAAACCCGAGACTCAGGAACACAGAAGGGGACGAACACAACACAACACAACACAACAACAATTGAGACGTTGAGTTGTGTTCGTCCCCTTCTGTGTTCCTGAGTCTCGGGTTTTATTACCATGAATCATCACCAGCTCGCTCGTTTTTTAAGTATTATTTCAGTTGTAACAATGCTTGCCACCCACGGACGAGTCAGAACACGGGCCGAAGTCCGAGTACTTTTTGACGTGTCATTCAGAAATTTGCATTTTCTCTGTAGCCTGCTATTGTTCCGCTCCGTGAGATAACAAAAGTTGAATTTTTCTCAAGGAAAATGTTTACGCAACGAGGAAGACAAGTGGACTTTTACTTGTTTAGAAGATTCAACCGATAACGGCAGCCAGTGTATATGGCCTTAAGCCGTCGCCCAGTTTTGACTACAGTTACTCTACCTCTGACTGGAATTATCGGCTTTTACTTACCCTAGGTTTGACCCGAATAGGGCAAGGACATTGTAACAAATCGTGGTGATCGACTGACTGACCGAATTCTCATGACACTGTTCTTCAAGGTGTGACTCAACTGATTCAGGAATGGCAGGGTGTTTGATTCTAGATAAGCCTGACGAACGTCTAAGAGAAGGGGGCTTACTGCAAAAACACTCCCCACATAAAGAAAGTTCTTGAATTCGGTGTTTCTCGGCCTTACCCGATCTTGCATTTTTGACACCGACAAATGTTGATCGATTTTTGTTTTTGTTAAAAGTGGAAATTCTATGGCCCCGTTATAATTTCAAGCCCTTGATTGCACCAAAAAACCCTTTGTCAGAACGCCAAGGACACAGCAGGCGACCCCTTCTCGCTCTCAAGGCCCATGCACACATTGGCGTTTGAGCTCGTATGAGTGCGGAACGGCGTTCTTGCGGCAGAAAGCGGCTGTTTGCGGTACGAAGGGCGCGGTCGCACTTACGGGTCGCAAGAAAGTAGGACCTGGCTCAACTCCCTAAAGCGTTGCGTTGGGATACACCAATCACTGGTTGTATACAACTGGGACATATTATGAAACGAAATATAATGAATGAATGAACAAATTACTGAATGAATGAGAAACCGAGAAAAAAAGGGAGGGTCACGTGCTCGCCAAAGCCCGTCAATGGCAGTGGCGCGCCTCCGGTTCCGCGTTCGGAAACAGGATCTTGCCTTTGGATGTTGGAGTGGTGGGAACGAGGGAACAGCACGTTTTTCGTGTATGCGATGGTTCAAGCTGGACGGAAGTCGCGGAAGCCGGCAGGAAGATTCCGAAGATCGGACACTTCGACCAACCTCGACGCTGTCGCTGGGCGCCGCCACGTTGTCGTGCATTTCGATTATTATTGATGAGCCGCGAGCGCCGAAGCGACTATTGCGAGCTCTTATTGACTCTCGACAGCAGTCGACTGCGTTTCAACGCAACTGTGTGTGCAAGCTTGGCGCAAACGTTCTCCGTAAAGTTCTGCAGCCGTCTGCCGCAACTGAATGCATCGAGCACCAAAGATGCTAATGAGTGTATAGGCCCTCAACGTCGACCTCCGCACCGGTGCACGCGACTCGAGCTAGCTTTGTCGCGTTGACTTTAGCAGGCGGTATTCTAAAATGGCATCGGCTGCTGCTGTCTTTAAACGCTGCGTTCGCGTGTGCGTCAAATCAGCGGGTGCTTTGTTGCCATGCTACCGGTGACCATAACAGGAGGGTCTTATTGTGCAGAAGGAGATGACAGGGTGGCGAAATAAGGTGCGTGGTTGGGCTATCTCGCCGTGCTTTCCAGAGGGAGGAACGTGAAAAAAAGAGTTCAAAATAAGGACCTAACGCAGATGGCTGTTTTTTTTTAGCGCCTAATATTTAGACGAGGCTTTTACGAAAAGCCTGTTTTAGCTCAAACATGTGCCAACACTTCTTTTCTGTTTTCAAAGGAGGCAATGGATTCGACTTCACCGTGCTCCTTCATCCGTACTGGAAAGTCCCGGATGTCCGAGAATGTCAGCTCTCGGGTTGCCATGGCACCTCTTTCATTGACAAGGTAACTCTTACAGAATAATCAGTCATGCCAAGGCCGATTAGTACGTTACAAAATACATTTCACACCCTCAAAGGTGTAAAGAGGGTGTCCCAGATACACTCGTGGTTACACTCTTTCAGCACCTCTATTTCGAGTAATACATCATTTTTTATTGTACAATATGGTGATGTGGTATAGAACATTCTTCGTTTTTGAAGGGAGTATAAAACGGTGCCGCTGTGAAAAAGAGTGTAAGCAAACTGGTTACACGCTCGAAAGATGAAACAACCTCAGGAGAGGTTATTTGGGCCACTCTATCGAATATTCCCGCCGATATCAATTATTTTGAGTTGGAGATATATTTCTTGAACTTCGAGATGTAATATTCGGAGTAAAATATTGACAAGAACAAAGAGAATACCTGTAACCTTCGTAGTTACAGAGGCCCTCACCAGCAAATCAGTGGATTTCACTTATCGAGTTCATAAGACGGTGTAGCAGTAAAGAAAGTGCGGCCTCGTGCGTGCTTCATAGCGTCTGTATTTGGGCTTTCCGTGCATGTTGAATTGTACGTGGTGCGTGGTAGTTGTAAGCTTGCTCGTAAAAAAGAAAAAAAAAAGAAAGACGTTTACAAATCTTTGTAATGAGGAAGGGAAGGTACGGAGGGGAGGGTATGCCTCTCCTCCTCCTCTGTTCAATCTCCTTCCCTTTCTCCTCCATCCCCTAATCTCCCCTCCTCCATCAATCCAGTTTCCCCCCTAGATTTCGCGGTTAAAGTGACGTCACATGACCTGGTGTCAAGTCCCCTATGAACAAATTCAGTTCTCTGCTAGATTTAGCAAAGAAACTAGTTGAATTACCAGCTAAATTTAGCGGGGAAGTGAATTCGTGTTGACGTCACGTGACGTCAATTTTCCCGATAAGCGGAGAAACTGAATTCGTCCGCTAAATCAAGTGGAGGAACTGAATTTCCCCGCTAAATTTAGTGGGGAATTGAATTGGTGCTGACGTCACGTAGCGGGGAAATGAACTGGTGTTGAGGTTACGTTGCGTCCATTTTCCAGCTAAATCTAGAGGAGAAACTGAATTTCTCCGCTAAATCTAGTGGGGAATTCAGTTGGTGTTGAGTTCACGTGACGTCAATTTTCCAGCTCAATTTAGCGCGGTTACGATAACGGAGACGCTGACGCCGCGAAACCGGGGAACGGGCGCCTAAGAGCTGCGCTCTAATAACTCTACGGTGCTGCTAACTTCGACAGCGCAAATAAAGCCGCAGACACCGCTTATACGTCATGCAAAGTTCGTCGTAGACATGATGAGAGAATTATCTGCACACACGCCTCGGGCATGTTGGAAACATGTTTGCTTCACACATTCATCGAACATGTCTGCAGACCGATTTTGTATGCATACAGAGATTGTCAAACGAAACATAAATACGACCCAGACAGTGTCTATATAGATAGTCTCTTTGCATGATGCCTAAGCAGTGTGGCACGGCGTAAGTGTTTTGCCCCTAGTTTATTTTCTGGTTTTGGGTTTGGACAACCACGAAAACTCATCAGGAATATAGAAAATGAGAGTTCTCGACCATTCACCATACCCCCGACCTTGACAAATGACCTTCAAGAAATAACATGAAAGCGATATACAAAAATCACCCTGTAAAAGCGTATTTCACCATGTTTTCCCCAATATATTATCTCTCTTCATGTCAACTAAATGGTAAGACGGAACATCGTCACTTAAAGCTTCCTGTATTCAAAAGACGTCGGTTATATAAATCTGTTTGTAACCCTTTTCAGAAACAAAACAAAAGAACCTTATAATTTCTTAATCTCAAAGTATTACGAACTTTGAATTTCGGCTTCTTATTACTTTTCGGTGAAGGATAAGTTGTTTTTTTTTCTGACAAACTCTTCATTTTTTGAATGAGGCCTCGGTCGAAGTCCATTTAATAACGATAGGATGTATTACAGTTTTAACGACGTTATCTCAAACCTGTTGATACTGCACATTTTCTCATTTTCTTGTAATGTTCATTTGAGCCTGGCGACAACAGACGCCTTAAGCTCTAAATAACTACTACAATTTTATTACAATCTCTGTACTTTACTATTGTATAACTCTAGTCCGTGCGCTGTCTGTATCCTTTTGGGTATTCTTTTTCACTTAAATATTAGAAGGAATGCCTGTGTTATTTGCTCACCTGTTTTGTTTTTTAAAGGTGTTACCCATGCATATTTAGAGAATATATTGCCAAGCGCGTCTGTGGCCAAACACTTACCATGCTTGACTCTCACGCCAAGGGCCACGGTTCGAGTCCCGGCAGCGGAGGGACCTTTTTGTGATTTCTGTAGAGGTACGGAATAACTGAACAAACTAAACGTTTGATTAAAGCAAACTTGTGCCCCCCCCCCCCCAAAAAAAAATAAAAGAAGGTTAGCGTCGCAGGCGTCGATGGCGGCGTAACCGCAGGATCGAACGCTGGGGCGAGACTGACACCGGCTCGCCACGCGGAGCCCCTTTTGTACACGCGAATGCTTCTGGAACAATCGGCATCGAATGTTTGGCGCGTAGGACATTCTAACCTCGAATTAGCAGCAGGGTTCTCGAACGCGAACGCGACATTTACAGAAATAACAAAATGGTCCCTCCACTGCAGGGAATCGAACCGAGGCCCTTCGCGTGAAAGTCAAGCACAATAACCGTTCGGCCACAGACGCGCTCTCTCGGAGTCGCGCATGGCAATATCCATACAAGTACGAAGACGTTTTTATAACCTTTGACTTAAACAAGACCCCCTTGCCATTGATAATTTATTCCTTGAACGTTTGCTATGTGTCTTTCAAATGTGTTTCTAATTGGTTTGAATGTTGTATATGCATGTATTATCTCAGCAAACTCTTTAACCCCGTAAACTTGGGCTTTTTTTAAGATCATTTATTTCGAAATACCCTCTTCCCGGATCATAATGAACGTTTTTGAGTCTATTACATTTATTTAAGAATAATTCTCTACCTATTTAGTTTTTGTTCTTAATATATTTTTGTTGTAAGATTGTAAGAGGTTGACTTTATGAAATCATTTTATCAATTCCTGAACTCAACTTCTGAAATTTCTTTTGTTTCGCATACACTCTAAGAAATAGGGGGTGCATAGGGGTACACCCCTTGTCCCTCATGTAACTCCCCAAAACAACAATTCGGCGTTCAGTCCACAGACGTTGAAGCGACGATACCAACTTTCAAGAGCGGCTTGATAGTCGACCGATACAACTTATTAAAACAGCTAATGTAGTATTAAAGGCTACCGTAAGACAATCGAGGTTTTGTTTTGGCCCTGCTGCAAAATTTCAGTGTTTTTGTTTCTAGTTTTCGATAAGCACATTACCTACTTATTCCGTTATATCCGACAGCTCTCAAGCCGCTCGTAAAATTCGGTATTGCTAGCTCGACGTCAGCGGACTGAACGTCCAAATGTAGTTTTGAGGAGTTACATATGGGTCAAGGGGTGTATTCCTTTACACCCCTTACTTCTAAGAGTGTATGTTCAGAAGTTCTTTATAAAACTTGTGAGATACTAAATATGATTATTTTCTTTCATGTAAATTCAAAGTTCGTTCAATTGCATCAACGAGTAAAATACTTAACGTCAAACCAACTAAGCAAAGGAAAACAAATACAGTGAATCGTTTTGCTGAACGGAAAAACTTAGTGAAAGTGAAAAATGCACTTAAATTCTGATAATAATGATGGGATCTTTTGAATTTGCATACTTCTCAAGTTCTTTCATTTACCAGTAAGAAAAAAGACATAATTAATTGTTTTTCATTATGTTCTGGATCTGATGAAAACTCGTGAATATCAAATTGTATTTTGCCCCTAGACAATATATAATGTAGTGAATACACTATTGACCACACAACAAGGAGTTTATACTTTAAATCTGCGATGAAATATAAAGTATGTCTTTATTACTTGTACTCATATACTTTAATATTTCTTTAGCAGGGGTAGACCAAAACTATGGAAAATTTATTCTACTTTGCACCATTAAAATAACAAATCCAATGAGTTCCCAAACATGGAAAACTATAATTATTTATTACATTAAATTTGTTTAATTTTAGGCAACTTATTTTTTAGATATACACCACTAAATCCCGGTTTTTGTATTAATATCTTAATAATATCTGTAGAACTTAGTGGTGACTTTATTATTTTTTACCAATTATGCTAACACCCTGGCCAGCAATTTTCTCAACAGCTCCCACAGCTCCAGCCGTTGCGGCTCCTGTTAAGCACCCTTTCGCAACAAGTGGCAGGGCTCTGGCTGCAAAGACTGCTAAGGTCCCACTGATTGGCAAACAACCATCTTCTTGAGTCTTTTGATTCTTTAACTGTGTTTAAATGAACTTTGTGTCCACAGGCTTACCCTTCTTTAGATTCTGAATTTGAGCGGAAGTAAGAAACGATCTAGAATTAGTGGATTTGGCCCTCAAATCAATTCGTATTTTACATTCTTCTTTCTGAATTGAAGTCTTAAGCTTCTTTTGTTGATCTTCTGTTAGGTGTACTGGGTATAGGATATTCCTTTATACAATAAAAAATACGTTTCGGCAAACATCATTTTATCATAAGTAAGAGTTACATTAATTTTCCTATCAAACTTGTACATCATAACCATTCTGTACCTTGGAGCCGGAGTACTTCGAAGTTAAATATCTACTTGAATGTGAGATGCGTGAGCATTTTTAAATGCGTTCGTATGCACATTCGCGACATCAAAACAAAATATTGGACAGACTTGCAAATGTTTGTTTTTGTTACAACTCTCCTGGTATCTACGTCTACAGTTTTTTTTACATTTGGCTTACAAGAATCATAAATAATCTAGGGGAATTTACTTCTACATTTATAGTTTTTAGGTTTAAATTATCAGAACACATATTGTTTCCAGTTGAAGAATTGATTCTAGATTTTTTTTGAAAAGCAATAATATACACATTGGTTTATTAA